CCCCCCCCCCCCCCCCCCCTCTCGTGGGCCCTCTCCCGATGGCCAGCATGCGCCCCTCCGGCCCCCTTCGGGCCCCGAGGCGGCTGCTCAGCCTGCTAGTCCTGTGCGCTTGCCTGGCCCTGTTCCATGCGACCGGGGCCGCGGCCCCGGCCCGACAGATCCAGACGGACACCTTCCGTGCTGGTCGTGCTCGGCGCGATATCACCGGCCCGGCTGGGCAGATCAACATGATGGGCTACGCCAACCCCATGCAGTCCACCGGCGGGCTGGACTCGCGCCTGTATGCGCGGGCCTTTGTCTTCCAGGGGGCCAACTCCGACGCCAACTATGTGGGCCCGTCGTTGGAGATGCGCGCGCGTGCGGCGGCCGCGGCGGCGGCGGCGGCGGCGGCCACCGACTCCGACGGCCGGGACCCCTTCTCCTCGCACGCTCGTGACATTCCCGAGGAGCACCGGCGCCGTGCCAACGTCCAGTCCCGGCCGCAGGACACCCAGTATGGCAAGGCCCCGACCGGGGACCCGCACCTGGCGGCCGTGGCCCTGATGGACATTGCCTTTGTCACGGAGAACCTGGTGTTCGGTGTGCTGGATGAGCTGCAGCGCATTTTCGCCGCACGCGGCCAGGTGTCCCCCTACGACGTGACGAACATCCTGCTGGCAGGCACCCACACGCACTCCGGGCCCGGTGGCTATGCGCAGTATGTGCTCTTCCAGATGACCAGCGCCGGCTTCGTGGAGGACTCCTACTGGGCCATTGTCCTGGGCACGGCCGAGGCCATCGTCGCGGCACATGATGACCTGCAGTGCGTGACATGCCCCGTCCTCTCTCCCCCCCCCCCTCTGCTGGCTGTCCTTTTTGATTTTGTTGCTCACCCTGCCTTGCCCACTCTGTTGATGGCCCGCGTGTCCATCCTTTTCTCCCTCCCCCTCTCTCTCTCTCTCTCCTTCTCCGCCCTTCTCTCTTTTCGTCCATCTTGATCTTCCTCTCCCTCTCTCCCCCCTTTCATCCACATGAATGAAGGGCTGCCGAGATCCTGGCGACCAAGGGACACCCCAACCCCGGGGATGGCCTGATCGGCCGGAACCGGTCTCCCACCTCCTATCTGGAGAACCCCCAGTCCGAGCGCGATCGCTACCCCGGCGACACCGACACCGAGATGAGCCTGCTCCGGGTGCGCAGTGTGCCGACTGGCAATGCCAAGCCCGTCGACCTGGGCCTGATGAACTGGTTCGGTATGTGGGCCATTTGCCTGGCCTCCCTCCTCGGCCCGGGCCTTGCGGTTTTGCTCGCCCGGCTGACTGACCGCGACTTCGCCTCCTCAGCTGTCCACCCTACCTCTCGCAACAACACCAATACCCTGATCAGTGGCGACAACAAGGGCTTCGCGTCGTATCTCTTCGAGCAGGCGATGGCCCCCCCGGGCGGCAGCGCCGATGCCGGCACCGAGTCGCCCTTCGTGGCGGCCTTCCTCAACTCCAACATGGGCGACATTTCCCCCAACATCGAGGGGGCCCAGTGTTATGACGGGCCGGCGGCCGGGGACTTCTGCGATCCGCTGCACTCCACCTGCCCGAACAATCGCGGTCTGCAGCGGTCGCAATTCTGCCACGGCGTTGGCCCGAGCGGCCGTGACGACCGCCTCAACAGCCGAATCATCGGCGAGCGCCAGTACCTCCTGGCCAAGCGTCTTTTCGGCCAGGCGGCCAACATTGGCAATGGCGGCTGGCGCGTGGCCGGTGGCTCCTTCGGCAGTCAGGCCGAGGTGGAGTCGCGCATGATGTTCATCCGGTTTTCCGATCGCCGCGTCCTCTCGGACCCGACCAACCTCCCGCCCCTGCGCAAGCCGGTCGAAGTGGAGCTCTGCAAGCCGGCCATGGGGTACAGCTTCGCCGCCGGGACCACCGATGGCCCTGGCATGTTTAACTTCTACCAGGGCCAGAAGCGCGGGTCGCCCTTCTGGAACTGGGTGCGCAACTTCCTGCGCGTGCCCTCCTCCAAGCTGGTCCGCTGCCAGCGTCCCAAGCCGGTACGTGGCTGAATGGCTTGTGCAATGCCTGCGAGTGTTTCTCTCTCTGTGTGTGTGTGTCTGGGCGAGCGGGGAGGTTGCTCGCACAGCGGCGTCCTCCTCCTCGGCGCAGCGTGCCCACCCTGTGAACGGCCAGCTCCCTGGGTTCTTCTCCCCCCCCCCCCCCCCCCCCCCCCGACCCAGCCCCCCCCCCCCCCCCTTCGGGCCGTTGTCCCTCCTCCCCCTCTCCGCAGATTCTCCTTGCCACCGGCGAGGCCACCCTGCCGCATGCCTGGCAGGCGGACATTGTCCCGGTGCAGCTCCTTCGCATTGGCGATCTGGCGATTGCCGCCCTGCCGGGCGAGTTCACCACCATGGCCGGCCGGCGCCTGCGCGAAAGTGTCCACAAGATCCTCATCGATGGCGGGGTCATCGGCCGGAACACCGGTCTCACCGTGGTCACCGGCTTGGCCAGCAGCTACATCGACTACATCACCACCCAGGAGGAGTACCAGCCGCAGCGCTACGAGGCGGCGAGCAACATCTTCGGCGAGCACACCTTCGCCGGGTATCTGAGCGCCTTCGGCCAGCTGGCCGATGCCATGGTCACCAACTCCACCGTGCCGGTGGGCGAGTGGCCGCCCGATCTTCGGGGCAAGCTTATTACCCGGTTTTCGCCGAAGCTCAGCCCGGATGTCCTGCCGACCGGCGTGGACTTCGGGGACTTGGTGTCCGGGCCGGAGGCGCGCATTCGCGTGGGCGACACCGTGGAGGCGGTCTTCTGGGGCGCCAACCCGCGCAATGACCACCGTCGCGGGCGGACCTTCCTGCGCATTGAGCAGAAGCTTGGCAGTGGCACCTGGCAGACCGTGCGCACCGATGCCGACTGGGACACGGAGCTCGAGTGGCTGCCGCAGAAGAAGGACAACTCGCGCGGCGGCGGCGGCGGCGGCGCCGGCGCCGGCGGCAATGCCGATGAGGCCGATGGCTCTGACGCCGGCCTGCCCTTTGTCCAGGGCATGGACGAGCCCGATGAGTATATCTGGGCCTCGGACAGCCTGCGCCCCAGTATGGAGGACATCCCGGAGGAGGACCTTGTCGAGGAGTACCGGTGGATGGGTCAGCACTTGAGCTTCGGCCGGGGCACCGCCCTCGGTGTGTCCCCGGGCCAGCCGCACTGCAATGCCAAGAAGACCCTCACCTCCCAGGTGGCCATCCGTTGGCGGACCGCCGGAAATGGGTCCTCCGTGGCCCCGAGCACCCCGAAGCCCGGTGTCTACCGGATTGTGTACACCGGCGATCGCTTGCACTCCGACTGCAAGACCGTGAGCTCCTTCTCCGGCGTGTCGCCCGAGTTCCAGCTCTATGTTTGATGATGTGTCGGCCGCGTGACCGCTTTCATCGGCCTTTCTCTTCCTTTCGCTCCTGCCGGCCGTCGGCGTCGGCGGCCCATTGGCGAGGGGGACTTCGGGGCCCATGGCGGCGAGAGACGACACGCGCGCCTGCCTTTGTGTTCGCACACCTGTGCGTGCGTGCGTGCGTGCGTGCGTGCGTGCGTGCGTGCGTGCGTGCGTGCGTGCGTGCCTGTGAGTAGTACGCAAAGTGTATGACGCATGGGTAGTCGTGCTAGCGCCGACGGCCATCTCGCGCTGGTGGATCCGCACGGACACAGCCGAGCGGCCCCCCTTGCCGCGCTCTCTCCCTCTCGCAGAGGGGAGCAGCTGTGTTCAAGCATGCTATTGTACCATCCCCTCTTGCCCCTCTCTCCCTATGCCCTTCCCCTTCTTTAATTCACCCCCTTCGCGGGGAAGGGGACAAGGAAAACAGCGACTTTTCGAATGTCATGCCTGCTGGGGGTGTCATACCTTGACTGGGTTGGCTTTTCGGTTCTGTTTTTGTATTTGCAAGGTTTCTCATTGCATCGGCCTGGGGGGGGGGGTGCCCTGCCGAGCCTCGGAGCCGGCGCGAGAGACGAGGCACATGCCGATGATTTGAAGATGGCCAGGGCGGGGTAGCATCGGGTTGGGCATGGGGGGAGGGAGACTACACGACGGGAAACAGCCCTACTGGCGAGCTATTGCCGGGATCGGAGAAGCCGAGCACCGGCGGGAAAGGGCTGACCGAGGGTCATGGGCAATCCGGTGACGGGCATGGAGCACGTTGCTCGTGAATGGGAGGAAGGAATCCGACGGCAAGCCGGCCCATAAGCGGCCTGCCTGGAATGGGGAAGGACAGGGGACAAGGAGGCAGAGGAGATTGGCTGGCAGACATGCGGAAACCAGGAGGCAGTGCGATCGAGGGCGGAAGCTCGGCATAGAGGCGAGGACTGGCGCATCCCGGGTGGCCCTGCCGCAGAGCAACATGTGGAACTTACCCACCCACAGCGGGACGCTCGCGATGCCGCAAGCGCCTGGGCGACCGGGAGGAGGGGAGACGGATGGCACTCGGCATCACCAAAGCAACCAACGGTCAGCGCGCTGCCCCAGGTGCCTGGACGACCGGTCCTCCCTGGGGCCGCGGGCCGGACATTGGTGCAAAGGGATCGCGAGGGCCCGAGGCAGATGCGGAAAAATCGACGCTCGGCATTCAGGAGCCAGCCTCCTCGTGTCTGACGCCGGGGATGGCGGGCTTACTGCGCCCTTTGGTTGATGGTGCTCCCTTGTGCAAGGGGGGGGGGGATCATTGTCTGCGGCGTTGGCAACCACAGCAAAGGGTCGGCCGCCAGGCGATGGTGCTCGGCCGATTGGGCGGCCGCCTTCCAAAATATTGTTCCCCTCTCGTCCTCGATGAAAGGGCTCCGCACCAACCTGGGGAGGTCCACTGACTGCCCTCGATGCGCACACACAGGAGGCCCGGCCCGGTGAGGGACGTTGGAAACCCCGATGTCGGCATCGCCGCCGGCAGACCGCCTGGCCGAGTGGCAGCTGCCCATACTGCTGATGAAGGCGCCGGAGGTCGCATCGGTGATGGTGGGCATGGCCCGAGCCGTGACGCTGACGCCGGTGGCAACGAGAACAGCAGCCGCACCCGCGCTGTCATCGGCTTGGGACTGGCGCGGCCCAGAGTGCCGGCGGATGCCCCGCCGCATGCTGGCCGAATAGCGACACGGACATGCTCCGGCACTTGGACCAGCTTGTCAGGGCGCCGCCGAGCGGACGGTCCGGCGGCTCAGGAGCCCGGGCTGCCGGCTTGCAGGTGCCATCCGCCCGAAGGTGTGGTCCGAGATGCTGCGATCCCGATGGCGATGCTCCAGCAGGGCGAAGGGCCTGGCCGGGCGGCGAAGCACCCTCAGACAGATGTAGCTGTCCGGGGTCAGAGCCAGACGCGCATGCTGTCGAGTTGTGGCCCGGGAGCGGGCATTCGTGCGGGGTGCTAAAGGTGCTCAGATCTCGCACGGCGCAAGGCAGGCGGCATTCAAAGGGGACGGGGCTGGACACGGCCGGCGTCTTGTCAAAGATGACCGTGTCGGGGCGGACCTCGGTCATGGAACACGGCGGGCTGGCCGTCATGGTAGCCCTGTTGCCGGAGTGCACGCTCGCAAATGCCTGGCCAAAGGCTGGCCGCATGGACATCCGGCGGAAATGCCCCTGGACATCCGGGCAGCCGGGCCGGTCGAAAGAGGAAGGGAAGCAGGCCCGCTCGGAGGGCTTTCGCACTTGGCGGACGTCGAAGCCCGGGGGGAGGTGCGTGATCCCGGTGACAGCGGCATCGGGCCAAAAGCGCGGTGCCCCTCGCGGACAGCGGCTCACCGCGGTGAGCAGGTCGACCCAGCCGAGGTACTCAACCCGCAACACACGCAGGGCATTGGCCAGGCAGATCTGCCGGGTGCGAGCTTCCACGAAACGGGCCATGGCCTGGCCCTCCGACCAGAGGGAAGGGGGGGGGGCACAGAAAAACTCAATTCTTCAAAGAGCTTGACATGGTTGCGCCCATGCAGCAGCGAGTGCGCGATATTCACCCGGATGAAGCCTGCCACCGGCAGGCCTTGAAAGGGGCACACGCTCCGGGCAAGCGAGCTGCCGGGAGGCGGGAGGCGCTCGAGCTGGCTCGCTAGCAGCAAAGCCGGGAGGCTACTGTGCGGGAATCAAGAGAGGGCCACTCCTTGACCACTGGCAGGATGAGGGGCTTCTGTCACCGGGCTATCATGCCCAATGCAGGGATTTCCCCCACCAGCTGCCCGGGCGGCACAGGCGGGTCCTCGTGCATCGGATCAAGGCCCACGTCTTGTTGATTGTCACCGGTGGCGCGCGGCGGGCCAGGACGTTGGGGCCGCTGCCGTATATGTCATCGTCATGGTCGCCGCCATTGGCGCCGGCACTGGCATCGGCACCGAGACCGACACCGGCACAGACACCTGTTCCGGCACGAGCATCGACCAGGGTCCTGATAAGAGTGCTGGCATCGGTGTCGATGGGCCCACTGACCCGACTCCCAAGACCGTCGCCACCGCTGGCTACATCGCCATGGGAGGCGAGGCGACCCGATCGGGGGGACTTGGCTGGAGGGGGATCCATCGCGGGGCCGGGGGGTGTCGAGCGCTTGGCCGCGATTCAGGCGCCGGCTGGCATGGTGGAGGGCTCCTGGCTCATGTGTCTGTCCTGGGGACCTCCCGGCGGGGCCCACGCGCCGGTGGGTGGATCCTCCTGGCCAGGTACCGCCTGGTGGAGAGGGGCCTCGTGTCGATGGGGGAACCTGGGGGCCGGGATGACCGCGAGCGGGGCCGCCCAGCGACCATGCCCTGGACCCTTTGACCGTGTGGGGCATCACCCCCGGAGAGGACGGACGCCGGGAACTGGGGGATGTGGTCGATGCCGGCGAAGGCATCATCCTCGATCGACGACCCGGCCAGCATCTCGAATATCCGTGCCCGAAAGTGCCCATCCGGCGCCATGGATGTGTAGGTACCTGCCCGGTGATCCCGAGAAAGAAGAGAGAGTCAGCACCGAGGCCGCTTCCTCAGGGAGCAGGGCTTTCGGCGCCGTGGCCCAGTGCCGTCCCGGGGGGAGCGTGCATTTGGCGAGGCAGGGCTGGGGAAAAAAAAAAAAAAGACCGGCCCGATCGCCACCGGACGCCAGGGGGACCGGGCCCGGGATCCTGTGGGCTGGCATCGCAAGAGACACCGATGCACATGGGCAGGGGAATGGACCTGGTGATGCCCCGCACGGGAGGGGTGGGGAATGAGAAGGTGCCACCCGCAAGAGGTGCAGCAGGAGCGGCAGGCAGGGGCAGGACAGTAGGGAGGGGGCAAGACCGAACAGGGGAACAGGATGCGGGGAAAGGGGGCTGTCAGACCGGGAGGGGGTCTGCCTCCCAGTGCAGCGAGATCAGAAGCCATGCACCCAGATCAATCTTGCATTATTTTATTCCCATTTCCGCCCTCCACACCCGATTTCCGACTCTCGGTGCTTTGCCCCCTCCCCGGCGTAGGGCAGAAACCCACAACTCGACAGACGCCGCCGCGAGGAGGGCGGGCAGGGCCGATCAATGAGCGTGCAGATGCCACCGCGATAAATAAAAAAAAAAAACCCGGGCCGGTGTCGATGCTTGGACACTTCCTTGCCTGGCTACGGCTGGCCCGGGGGAAGTGCAATGCTGGCGGTGGGGGAGTTATGGCACGCGTTGTTCGCGTGATCCGTTCATGGGCACTTCCCTCGGCCAGCCGCCTCGGCGCCACCGCGCGGGGCCGTGCGCCAGATGGACGCGCCCCTGCGTGGCGGGAATAGAAGGGGCAACAGGGCTCCCCAGTGATCGGATGCCTGCGTGGGGTATCCCTCGCTCGCCCTCCCCCCCCTCCCCGGTCGCCCCTTCTCATTGAGGCCCCTCCCCCCCCCCCCCGGACCCCTTTCCTTTGTCCCTCTCCCTCTCCTCCCTGCCTTTCGCCCGCACCCACGCGCTGACTGTCGCCCTCTTCTCCCTCTCCTCCATCCCACCCGTCCGTCCCTCCGCCGTCCCTCCCCCCCCTCCCCGGTCTGTCCCCGGCTTCCAGCACGAAAAACTCTTCCAAGACGCCCGCCGACGGGAGAAAAAGCGCGAGATCACCCCCATCGTGGATACCCTCCTCTCGCTTGGAATCTCCGGGTCCCCCGCCATCTCCCAGCCCGGCCGGACTAGCCACCACTCGCATCCCAACCTCTTCGGCCACGACGCTCTTCCGATCTGAAAAACTCTTCCAAGACGCCCGCCGACGGGAGAAAAAGCGCGAGATCACCCCCATCGTGGATACCCTCCTCTCGCTTGGAATCTCCGGGTCCCCCGCCATCTCCCAGCCCGGCCGGACTAGCCACCACTCGCATCCCAACCTCTTCGGCCTCGGCACCAACGGCTTCCCCTACAAGTTGACCCTGGACCTGAGCCCCGCCAATCCCGTCCAAAAGTCGCCGCAGCATCCCTCATCGTCACAGTTGCCCTCGGCTGCCAAAGACCTTGCCCCTGCCTCCAACACCCCTGCCTCTGCTGCTTCGTCCTCGGCCCCCAACGCGGCTCCCCCTGCTACCGCCTCCGCCTCCGCCATCACCATCACCTCGGATAGCACCGACCGCCGCCCGACTCCAGCCCCGGTGCCTGACATCTTGATCACATCGGGTTCGTGTCTTTCATCCCCTCCCCTCCTCCTGCTTGTAGATCGGAAGAGCACACGTTACCGCCTCCGCCTCCGCCATCACCATCACCTCGGATAGCACCGACCGCCGCCCGACTCCAGCCCCGGTGCCTGACATCTTGATCACATCGGGTTCGTGTCTTTCATCCCCTCCCCTCCTCCTGCTTGTCCCTTTCTCTCCCACTCTGCCCACTTTCTGGAGCTGACCCCCCCCCCTCCCCCTCCCCCTCTTCTAGCCACCACCCCTGAGGCCGAACTCCCCGGTACCCCCATGAACCAAGCCGGCACCGCGACCGTTGTCCCTCTCTCCTCCATGCAGCAGCCCAACCCGTCCGTCGGCGGCGGGGCAGGCACCAGCACCGCCCCCGGGGTCTTCCAAGCCGGCCAGGGATTGCTCCTCTCGCCGATGCAGATCCTCGGCTTCCCTTCATCCTCCTCCGGCGACCAGTCATCCATGGGCTTGCTGTCGACCGGCACCAGCGGTCAGCTACTGTCCTCGCAGGACATGTCCTCGGCCAATATCGGCTCTTCGCAGCAGCAGCAGCAGCAGCAGCAACAGCAACAGCAGCAGCTCCAGCAGCTCCAGCAACTCCAGCAACTCCAGCAGGTCCTGCAGCTTCAGCAATCCGGCCAGCAGCAGTCACCATCGCAGCAGCAGCAGCAGCAGCAGCAGCAGTCGCTCCTGCTCCTGCAGCAGCTCCAGCAGCAGCAGCTCCAGCAGCAGCAGCTCCAGCAGCAGCAGCTCCAACAGCAGCAGCTCCAGCAGCAACAGGCCCAACAGCTCCAGCAGCAGCAGCAGGCCCAGCAGCAGCAGGCCCAGCTTCGCCAGCAGTTCCAACAGCAGCAGCAGCTCGTTCAGCAGAACCTCCTCCTCCAACAACAGCAGCAACAGCAGCAGCAGCAGCAGCAGCAGCAGCAGCTCCAGCAGCCTGGCGGCTCTCTCTCAAGTGCCCAAA